GGAATTCGCAAACCTTCTATGTTTTAGATTACTTACAGTGGAATACGCCTTGATTATTTTGTATTATCATCATCATCACGTGCCATGCCGGTTAGCATAGGCTACCATGTTTCACCATCTCACACGATCACCAGAATCACGGACCAGTTCAGTGTTCTTGTCCACCTCAATCCATCTGGCCAGGCCATCCAGGTATATATCTTTTTGCCTTCCACTTGCTCTCTTTCCATAAATCTTACCAGTTGTCGCCAAGTTCTCCGGTCCAAGTTCTCCAGTCCAAATTCTAAGATACGACTTTCATCTGTTTCTATGAGTACGGCTTCGTTTGTTTTTCTATCTTTCCATGATAAGTCTTCGTATTTTTCTAGGAAACCACATCTCTTCAGCGAGTAAACGTTTTCCAGCTTACCTGCTTGTTGTCCACGTGTCACATGTTTATAACAACACAAGCTCAAAGAAGCACTTCAGCACTCTTTTTTTTTTTTTTTTTATCTAACTGCAATTCTTCTTGTTAGTGAGATTCTTTTGCAAATTGCTAAAGGCCAAGTTTGACCTGGTGATCCTTGTTCTAACTTCAACAAAGTATCTGAGATTGGATGTTATGACTGTTCCAAGATAGTTGTTTTTTTTGACCTGGTTGAGAATTTAACCTTTATTCACGTATTTCACACTTTGGTATTTCTTTCTTCTTGCTGATAACCATAATTACCGTTTTTTGTTTTTTGTTTTACTTTTTTTTCACAAAGGAGGAGGAATAAGAGAATGATGGGAAGAAGGAGAAGAAGAAATAAACGAAAAGTAGAAAGAGGGAACAAAGGTAGACGAGGTTGAGGAAGAGCAACAGTTCATTCAGAACAAGTTAGCCATATACTTGTAGACAGGACTCCAGGCAGTTGAATCGACATACAATGTCCTTGTTGTGGGGACACCTGTAACATGCACTGTCCTTGTTGTGGGGACACCTGTAACATGCACTGTCCTTGTTGTGGGGACACCTGTAACATGCACTGTCCTTGTTGTGGGGACACCTGTAACATGCACTGTCCTTGTTGTGAGTCCTTGTGGGGACACCTGTAACACGCACTGTCCTTGTGGGGACACCTGTAACATGCACTGTCCTTGTTGTGGGGACACCTGTAACACGCACTGTCCTTGTGGGAACACCTGTAACACGCACTGTCCTTGTGGGGACACCTGTAATATGCACTGTCCTCATGCCCCACAGGTTCAGCACGATCAGAGCGGAGGCAAATGCGGCATTTGCGGCGACCCCTACCCAGGAGACCATCCTTACGAGAGACCCAACGGATCCATGGTGCAACACAACATTATTGCAGAGACCTACTTAGAGAATCAGGTCATCTCTATACGGATACAGATCACCATGGGGCATGGGGTACGTACTGTGTACAACGTATAGAAAATGACGTAAAATAAGTACATATATAGTAGAAACTATACGTGTACTATTACGAGAGGCTACATGTCAGAAGTCAAGAGAGTTGCATGCAATAGAGCGGAGTGGAGGAATATAATGCCAGCCCTATGTGACGTCTAACGGTAAAGAAAGGATGATGATGATGATACATATGTATAGAAGCAGTAAAATATATAGTAGAAACAGCAATATAAGTCTATGGTTAAGCATCAGCAAGGAAATCAAAGTCACAAATTTCAGAGCATGCATCTTCCCTGGTTGTGAGTCGTCGACTATCTCCTAGTCTTCAAAGGAGACAATAGGGGATTTTGAGCCGCAATGCGGTAAAAATAAAATGATCAGAATACCAGGCACCGAGAAAACAAAAATACGGACATCCTAAAAGATGTGAACATCAGTGAAGATTGACCAGCAAACAGTATCCTGTCCTGGAAACTGAAATATTCTGGCCGTGTAAAGCACCGCATCTGTGACATGGGAAGTGTAGTAGGAATAACATGGCGCCAGGAAGGAGGGTCAGTGGCCGACCAGCCCGAAGATGGGCACTGGTATAAGTGGCACTTTGAGAAGGAAAATGCTTAGTACAAGACAGTTGATAATCCCATTGAAGCTGAAACAGTTATCTGTTTTAATTTGTTTTGTTATCTGTTTGTTTTGAAACTACACACTGAAAATAAAAGACATTACAAAATATGGGTTTTTTTCAACAGGGTCATCACGAGTTTTACATTTGCAACGTTGCAAACAGTGGTGGCGTAGAAGCCACCCAGGAGTGTTTGGACAAGACTCCACTGGCAGATGAGAATGGAGTCACGCAGTTCACACACGGAACCACACAAGCGGGCTACTACGACTACTTTCTGGTGCTACCGGAGGGCTTGACCTGTAGCCAGTGTGTGATACAGTGGAAGTGGAAGTGTGGTAGGTTGACTTCACTGATGGTTTTTAAAGTAGTAGTAGTAGTAGTGGTAGCAGCAGCAGCAGCAGCAGCAGTAGTAGTAGTAGTAGTAGTAGTAGTAGTAGTAGTAGTAGTAGTAGTAGTAGTAGTAGTAGTAGTAGTAATAATAGTAATAATAGTAGTAGGAGTAGTACATGTTGTAATTGTAGTAGTAGTACTAGCAGTGGTAGTGGTGATAGTAGAAGTACTATAAGTAGTAGTAGTAGTCGTAGTAGTAGTGGTAGCAGCAGCAGCAGCAGCAGCAGCAGTAGTAGTAGTAGTAGAAGTATTAGTAGTAGTAGTAGTAGTAGTAGTAGTAGTAGTAGTAGTAGTAGTAGTAGTAGTAGTAGTAGTAGTAGTAGTAGTAGTAGTAGTAAGTAGTAGTAGTAGTAAGTAGTAGTAGTAGTAGTAGTAGTAGCAGTGGTATAGTAGTTGTAATAGTGGTAGCAGTATTAGTAGTAGTAGTAGTAGTGGTAGTACTAGTTGTAGTAGTAGTAGTTTTTGTTGTTGTTGTTGTAGTAGTAGTAGTAGTAGTAGTAGTAGTAGTAGTAGTAGTAGTAGTAGTAGTAGTAGTAGTAGTAGTAGTAGTAGTAGTAGTAGCAGTAGTAGTAGTAGTAGCAGTGGTAGTAGCAGTAATAGTAGTAGTAGTAGTAGTAGTAGTAGTAGTAGTAGTAGTAGTAGTAGTAGTAGTAGTAGTAGTAGTAGTAGTAGTA